CATGCGTAAAGCAAAGGACACATCAAGGTGAGTACAAGTCATAGCGTACATGATAAAGCCTACTGTGGAAGCGTAAGGTACTCGGCTCATATCAACTATCTATGCCTCTGTACTCGGGCATTGAGTCTTACTCAGCTTGGTATTGCTTTGGATTCGCAACTCCCCTTTCTTGGAATTTTCCATACTAAAACTCTTTAGTACCTTATCCAAGTATGTATCCTGACTGAGTCCTATCAGTCTCTTTTCCCTGTTTCTTACTATCCTTATTCCCAGAATATAAGTAGCCTCTCCGAGGTCCTTCATAGCGAAACATTTCCCAAGCCAAGACTTGACCTCCTGCAAGGTTGGGACATCATTTCCTATGAGTAGTATGTCATCAACATACAATACGAGGAAGCTCACTATACTCCCATTGGCTTTCACATATACACAAGATTCATCTTTGCTTTGCAGAAAGTCACACTCTTTAACCTTCTTGTCAAAACAACGATCCCATCTGTGAGACGTTTGTTTCAATCCATAAATGGATTTCTCAAGCTTACACACTCTATTTGGATGCTTCGCATCGACAAAACCCTCTGGTTGATTCATGTACATATCCTCGACCAACTTCCCATTATGAAAAGCGGTCATCACGTCCATCTGCCAGATTTCATAATCATGAAACGCAGTTATTGCAAGCATTACCCTAATTGACTTTATCTTCGCAACTGGTGAGAAGGTCTCATCATAGACAACTCCGGGAGTTTGAGTAAAGCCCTTCGCAACCAATCACGCTTTATAAGTGTGCACTTTACTATCCATGTTCGTCTTCTTCTTTAAGATCCACTTGCACCCGACTGTCTTACGACCCGGTACATTATCAACCAAATTCCAAACTTGGTTGTTGTACATGGACTGAATCTCATTGTCCATCGCCTCTTTCCATTTAGCAGACTCCGGGCCTGCCATGGCTTCTTTGTAGCTGCTAGGTTCGTCCTAATTCATTAGTATTTCATCACTAATAAACGTATCCCCTTCAGTAGTAATATGAAAACCATAAAACTGAGGTTGAACACTAACCCTACTAGAACGTCTAAGAGGTAAGGACTCATCAACGGGCTCAACAGGAGTCTCCTCCTTGAGTTGAGTGTCAGTATTAGAGGTTCCTTCATCGCTTTGCTCTTCAATCTCTTCAAGATCAATTTTCCTCCCACTGTCCTCTTGGCTTATCAATTCCCTTTCTCGGAAAACTCCTCTTCTAGAAATGAAGACAACATTGTCACTCGGTCTATAGAAAAGATAGCCAAAGGACTTTTGTGGGTAGCCGATGAAATGACACATCTCACTATAAGGTTCGAGCTTGTCATGAGTCTCTCGTCTTACGAAAGCCTCGCAACCCCAAACCTTAATATGTGCCAATGAGGGAGCTTTCCCTGTCCACATCTCGTAAGGAGTCTTGGAAACCTTCTTGGTGGGAACTAAGTTAAGGATGTGGGTGGCAGTCTCTAAGGCATACGCTCAGAAAGCTATTGGTAACGAAGTCTGACTTATCATAGAACGGACCATGTCCAACAAGGTCCGATTACGTGTCTCAACCACACCATTTAATTGTGGCGTTCTTGGAGGCGTCAATTGTGAAACAATTACGCATTCTTTTAGATAGTCATGAAACTCAAGACTTAGGTACTCTCCTCCTCGGTCTGACCAAAGCATCTTGATTTTCCTGCCCAGCTGATTGTCCACTTCATTCTTAAACTCTTTTTACTTTTCAAAGGTTTCTGACTTTTGCTTGATTAAGTAGATATATCCATATCTGCTATAATCATCCGTAAAAGTCACGTAAAAGCGGAAAGCATCCCTTGTGGTTGATCTAAAGGGCCCACACACATCGGTGTGTATGGGATCCAAAAGACCCTCACCCCTTTCACAAGTGCCAATAAAGGGTGACTTGGTCATCTTCCCAAGTAAACAAGATTCACACGTGTCATTGTCCCTAAGGTCGAATGACTCCAACACTCCATCCTTTTGGAGTTGGGCTATGCGTTTCTTGTTGACATGGACAAAGCGACAATGCCACAAGTATGCTTTGTCTAGGCTAGTAGACGAATTAATATTCAATACATCATTTCCTAAATTATCAACAACCATCACAGATTCATAAATCCAATTACAAGGTAATGCATTGAAATAAAAGACACCATTCAAATAAACATTAATAGAACCATTACTATTATCAAAAGAATATCTGAAACCTTGTCTAAACAATCCATGAAATGAAATAATGTTTCTTGCCATATCTAGCGAATAACAACAATTTTCTAAATCTAACCCTAGCAGATACTTAGGGCAACTTCATTTCCAGTGGCCCTTCTGGTGGCAGTAATAGCGCTCTGATTCTTTGGGGTCGGAAGAGGGTTTGACCGAACCACATTTGGATCCACTAGAAGAGGAACCATCTTGGGGCTTACCCTTATGGTGGCTCTTACATGGAGCCTTCCTCTTCTTTCCCTTTCCTTGACCAATTGCCAACACGAGATCAGCCACAGTAGGGGATGGTGCAACAGATTTGTCTTTGAGGCTGCTCTCAGCAATCCTTAGTAGTCCTTGGAGCTTACTCAAGGAGACCTCTTCCTTATTCATGTGGTAGGTCATTCTGAATTGGTTGTAGCATGAAGGTAAGGAGTAAAGTATTATGTCGATAGCCAAATCCTCATCAAACTTAACATTAAGTTTGAGAAGATGATCAACATACCTCTGCATTTTTTGTAAATGAGAGGTTAGGAATTCTCCACTCCCTATCTTAGCGGTGATCATGTTAATAATGATCTCATAGCACTCTTGCCTCGCGCTTTGGTGGTACGTATCTAGAAAATCCTGATGGATTTCGTACGGATACATGTCCTCATAGGACTTTTGGAGTTCGAGGTTCATGGTGGCCAGCATGATGTAATGAACTTTCGTAGCATCACGCTCGTGGGCCTCAAAGGTGACCAACTCTTCAGGAGTAGCAACATCTGGGATGATCTTTTCAAGCTTTTCATCGAATACAGATTATTTTTCCTCATAGCGAGTGATCATGCGAATGTACCTCATCCACTCGTTGAAATTTGAGCCATCAAATGTCACCTTTTGACATAGGTTCATCAACGAAAATGACCCAGAAGCGTTGTTGTTGTTATTGATAGTAGACATATGAAAAAGAAAAGGAACAAAGTTTGATTAGAAATGAGTCGCTAATTAAACACTGAAATGAGAATTTAGGGCTAGGACCCAACAACATTATTTACAACTTAGAAAGGGATGTCATACTCTAAAAGTAAATAATTTGAAGGTAAGTGAATGACAATTCATTAATTCTCACCATTAAAAACAAAAATGATATTAAGTTTTAATTGTGTTTGAACACTCCTAGATCTTTTGAGATTCATTGAACTTTTCAACGGCATGTTTAAATCTTGATATTCACTTCAAATTTGCGATTGGGATGTCGCGGATCGCAAACAAGTCGTGAATAACCATGCGAATAAACATTGTGCACTCAATGTTTGTATCACCTAATCAATGTACAGGTAAGGAATGCACGCTCCATTGATCTATGATAAGCATCAAGCCACCCTTTTCCACCAATGTCAATCCTAAATTAGTGTGCCAGTTAACCACGCACACTCCACTAACGTTTGACAAGGGTACAAAGTGTAATTCCGTGGAATAGCATCATTTTCACATTTTGCCCTAAAGTAACTAAGATTGGGATTTTGTAAAAACATGATAGTTACTTTGCAAGATTCATTATAATTGTAATGAGGCATTAAGTGCCCTATCCTATCCGTTCGGCTAACGACCCTCCACCAATCAACCAAGCGGTGGGTGTGAGTGTACACCCATTAAGCGCCATATTTATCATATAAATAAACTATTATTCAAAAGATTTAAAATTATATATTGTTTTTAGCATGGATAATCATTCAATTACAATAAAATTCAGATTTTATCTTCAAAAAATGATTTAGGCATTAATCCTATGACAAAACAGCAACAAAATCCCGAAATATCTTCTGCTAGACGCACAGACTTGCCGAGTCAGGCCAACTCGCCGAGTCCAGATACTGACTCGCCGAGTCCAGATACTGACTCGCCGAGTCCAGATACTGACTCGCCGAGATGAGTCGGGAAAAGGCAAGGAAAAATGATTTTCAGCTATCAAACAGTTAAAGCATCATATACAACAGAAATCAATCAAGGCTCTGCTACCACTGATGGGGTTTATGCATAAGAACAATCCTAAGTGCTCATACAAACCCTAATGCTTGGATCTAGGTTTCTCTATTGTACATGCAATGAATCCAAGACTCATAAACCCTAATCTAGCATACATATATCAAAAACTAACATATAGAATCAGATCTATATGTTTACATGTTCAATGGAAGCTTGATTCTTCTTTCTTGGAGCTCAGAGTCACAATTGTAACTCCTCTAATGGATTACAAACACCACAAGCAAGAAGGAAACTATATGAGGGTGGTGGGAGGATGCTAAATTCGGCCCTAGGATTTCCTTGGAAGCAAGTGGCCGAATTTGGGAGCTAGGGGTCCCTATTTATATTGCTGGATGCTAGGGCTTCAGTCAAAACTCTAATGGATAACTTAGCCATCAAGCAGGCCAGGGAACCTTCTGGAATAAGGCCCTTGGATGAAAATATGATGATCCTTCATCATAATTTCGTTCCCCCTTAGTCCATTAGGTTTCCTTAGCGCAAACTTAATTATCATACATTTGATAGTTTATACCCCTTTATTTAACTAATCTCTTTCAATCACCAAATTAATTCCTAATTAAATTATGACCAATATTAATTTAATAATATTATTTCTCTTTTAATATATTAATCTTATAATATATTAATAAATCATAATATCCTCTCTCTCCTTAAATTACCTTGTCAAGTTGCTCTGGTGAACGTAACCCAAATGGACAATGCATGACCGGGTCAAGTACATACCAAATATAGTTACAGACTTAGACACTAATCCAACAAGTTCCTCCATGTGAAGACTGGAATGCTTCATTATTCGACAGAAACTCCTTGTGAAGTTTAACAAAGTTCGCCTTTTCTACTTTAAGCATGGCACCAACATTCTGAATGGCCTTGTTCGCAATGATGGTGTTGGAGTTGTAGGTATTGTTGTAATCCTCCATAAAATATATGGTGTTAGCAATTAGTTTATCGACTTTTTCGGTCATGGATTTGCAGACATCAATTGAGTTAGAAACTACATTGGCCATATTATAGGCATTAGTTACATGATCCTTTATGACTCGCTCAAGAATGGACTCAACCGCTACTTTAGAGTAAGCCTTACAAGAAGAATCTTGGGATGCAAGAATCAGTTGGTTGATCTTTCTCGTGAAGAGACTTGCATTCCCTTTTCGTAGCAGAGGCTTCATCTTTGCTATCAATCCTGATTTGAAAAGGACTATAAGTGAATCTGCCCATATCATCTTCATCATCTCCGGAAATCATGTTTGGGTCATTGGTGCGAAAGGGATAGATGGGTGGAGTAACATGGCTTGAAAAACCAGAAATGTTACCCCTTCATATCAGATATGTTGATTGAACATAAAGGTGCAATAGAGGCTTAGGGTGTAATAGTGGATTCTATAAAGATCGGGATTGAAATTGGAATAGATATCGGTGGTTGAGATGAAACAGGTGGAGGACAAGATGAAATAGTAATTTATGTAGAGGTGGTTGTTTTTGGTGAGGAAGGAGGAGAAGGAACAGAATCATTGAGTGGTGGACTTACCTAACGATTCTGGTATGGAACTTCAATGCGAACAGGAGGTTCGTTGTGAACGTGTTCGCCCTCCTCATTACGAACTAGCCCTTGATCTTCAGTGTGAACTGGTAGATTCTCCTCAATGCGAATCTCTGACTTGGATTCAGATTCAGAACGTTCTTCTTCACTCTGGGATGGAGAAGGAGTGGAAGATTTTCTCCTTTTAGCAGGTTGCATTCTTCTCTTTGGTGCAGCAGTAGACACAACAGGAGCCTTTCACCTTTTCGATGGAGGTTTCGCACCCTCTGAAGGTCCTTCTTTAGTAGCGTCTTTCTTGGTAGTTTTCTTCGACCCTCTTCCCCTTTCTTGCCTTTCACCACCTCAGCCAAGATTATTGGAATTCATCATTCATTGGGTGAAATCCTGACGGAGTAAGAGTGTGATAACCCTCAAGGATTTTGCTGGTAGCAAGCACATCATGAAACATTGCCTCCAGTATTGATCCAATGAAGGACATCTTTGACGGATCGGTCACAATGATGCCGGTAATATGAAGTGTTGCAATAGGATCCATCGGTGCATCAGACATCGCTGGAATCTTGAGCTGCTAAATCACTCTGTGAACGATGACTGTCCATAATCTCACATAGGAGATCTCACTATGACGAGTAGCCGAATGAGTGCTCTAGATACCGTGAGCCTAGAGGATGGAACCATAATCAACGTTTTCTCCGGTATAAAGACCATACATTCGACCCATGAAAAGCTTGCTCATATAGTAATCTCCAATGACACTTTCTGATAAGTCTTTAAACAAGATGGTGAATAAGGCGTTCCATGTAGGTGGAAGATTGGGTTTCTTGAAATTGGAAACGACACTAAGAGTTTCCTTGTACCCCATTAAATAAAAAATTTCCAAGATTGCAACATTAGAAATGGTTTTTGGGTTCACCAAGTTATCAGAATGAAGAAGCCCTAACAGATTGCAGAAACGGGCTTTGGAAATAGAGGTCGACTGGTTATGGATGTCGAAGTATATTCGTTGTTCATCCTTGACATAGTTGGCCGTTACGCCTTGGAGAGAATCGAGAACTGAACATTCTCAAGTTGAGTCAAAGCACTAGTGAGAGGGGAGTATTACAAGCACTCGATAAGAGGTAGAAAGTAAGGATCATACTTAACTGGATCCAGATAGAAGATGACGCTTTGGTGTTGCTTGCTAGCCAAAAGAGTTGAACGAGCAGTTTGGTCATGAATAGAAAGATTCTCAAATGACCCTGCCATTGATGAAGCTTAAGAGAAGAAGATGAACAGTAGAGAACATTTGATCGCTGAATCTGGAGAGAGAGTGTATCGGTTACGGAACCGTCGCCTAAAAAAGCACAATGTGACAACTGTGAAGTGTCAGATACGTGCATCACGTGTCATAGTAATAGCTATTTGTTCATATTTTCACGTGCCCGTTTGATTTCTTATCTTTAAAATTTTTTCGCGTCAGCTCATCTCCATTCGCAGTTAAGAAAACGCTTTTAATTCATATGAATATTCAAAGACACGAACGTAGGTACAACTATGAAAATGAAAAATTATTAGTAACCATGAACCAAACTTTTTGAAAATCATTGGGATCTTCATGCAAGAGTGTCAAAGAGAAAGAAATAAAACGAAGTATATGTGTTGGAATTAGTGATGTCTAAATAAAGACATAAAATTGTTGATCCCAAGTAAAGATATTTTCCTTCATAGTTAAGAGAGACTAAGAAGGTTCTGTGTTGTTTCTGTTGAATACGATCAAATGTTTGATATGAAACATTGAAAGGTATCTTTTCATGAGGCTTATAAAAGGCAGTTCATCCTCCAACCAAACTACGAACTTGACATAAGTACGAAAGTTGGTAGAAGTATTCATGTGACTAGTGTAACTAGTTGAACGAGTAGGTTTGGAGTTTATGTTAGTGACTTGGATAAGTATTGAAATATCAAAAGTAAATGAAAAATTGGATGCATTGGGAAGAAATGTCTTGGGATAAGAGCATTTTATTAGGATCTTACAAAAGAAAAGAGATTTCTTCGTACTGACCATGAACGTGGACTTTCGTTAATTCCCTGGTGAAAATACTAGAACATTTAATTGTTCGCCGTTAATTCATATAGGGTATTGATTTTTGGGTTTCACTCAGTTCGTGGTAGAACGAAACTAAGATCATTAACACAGATGTTGTGTAACCATAGACCTCAGTGGTAATATCTGAGAGTCTCAAGGGTTACATGTATGGATTTGAAAGTTATGGAGAAGAGAGTAAATAATTACAAAAAAGCAAAAGTACCTCTGCAATGCGAACGTGACCATGCAAATAACTATTAATTCAATGTGAGAAGAGTAAGGTGGCTCATGACTAATGTGAATCCGTAGCCTGATCGGGAAGAATTGATTGGTAGTATCAACTCATTAAGGCTTCACAATCGAGTCGTTGAGGCTTAGGTCAACATGCAGTAGTATGCTGCTAGGGACACTTAGCTAATACATAATTAAAGAGATTTATACCTGCCCCATTACACAAATAAATAGATGCCGAGAACATCTGATGGTATGATCGTAGTGTGAACCTGTTGAATGCTTGTGAAAAGAAAAGAAATAAAAATAAACACAAATTAAAAATCATTGTTATTTTAATTTTCTGAAAAACACAACAAAAAAATAGAAACGAATAAACTATTTTTGGTTTTAGAGATTTTCTGCAAAACAAAGACTAAAAACAAATAAACTAATTTTGGTTTTTGAAATTTTTTTGAAAAGAAATAAAAAGAGAAAACATACGAGCTGAAATTAAAGATAAGCAATAATATACAAAAAGTACAAAAGGATATACGAAAAACCAAACCACGAGTTAATTGTGGACTGCGAACGTTCGCACCGATTCACATTCAGAAAGTAGACTGTGAATGAACAGTTGACTGTGAATTACTGCGAACGTTCGCACCGATTCGCAGTGTAACTTTATGAGTGCAAAAGTGATTTTGGTATAGATTCAACTTCCATCATTCCTAGATCTTGAAGTATTCTATTATAGGTTGCTTCGGGTAGGGCCATGGTGAATACGTCGGCTAATTGATCAGCAGATCTTACGAAATGAATTTCAACATTGTCATCTTCCACATGATCCTTGATAAAGTGATGGCTTAGTGCTATATGTTTCGTCTTTGTGTGTTGTACTGGATTGTGACAAATGTGAATGGCACTTTCAGCGTCACAATAGAGACGGATCCTTTTCATACTTAAGCCATAATCGCGATGCTGGCTTTCAATCCAAATGACCTGAGATGTGCACGAAGTTGCAGCTATATATTCAGCCTTAGTTGTTGACAACGAAACGCATGTTTCTTTCTTCGATTGCCAACTCACCAGCTTGCCATCAAGAAATTGGCATCCACCAGTTGTTCTTTTTCTATCTAAACCGCAACCCCCTAGGTCATCATCTTAGAATGTTTGCATGAAAAATTCTGAGTTCACAGGATACCATATTCCAAGAGATGACGTTCGTTTTAGATACCCGAAGATGTTCTTGATAACCACCATATGAGGTTCGCATGGATTGGCTTAGAATCTAGCACAATAACAAACTGAAAACATAATATCCGATCTACTGGTTGTTAGATACAAACTGAAAACATAATATCCAGTGAATGAGTTAGTTTTGTTCCGAATGCCATTCGTACCTTCATCTTAGAGTCTCCCACCATTCCAAACTTAGCAAGTATGGTCTTTGTGTAAGCTTCCTGATTAATTAAAATTCCTTCCTTTCCGTGTTTAATGTTTAATCCAAGAAAAAAGTTAATTGAACCCAATGAGCTCATCTCAAATTTAGTTTCCATCAGCTTTCAGATTTCAATTGTAAGCCTGGGATTAGTAGATCCGGAGATGATATCATCAACGTAAATTTGTACGATCATCAAGTGGTCACCCTCTTTCTTGCGAAAGTAGGTTAGGTCAACCAGACCTTGTTTGAATATGGACATTTTAAGAAAATGAGTTAGTGTTTCATACCAGGCTCTTGGAGCTTGTTTTTGATCGTAAACTGCTTTGTCAAGAATATAACAGTGGTTGGGATTTTTTTTATTTACAAATCCAGGTGGTTGCTCCACATAAACATCCTCTTACAGTTCGCCATTTAGGAATGCATACTTCACATCCATTTGAAAAACTTCAAAACTTTTGTGTGCTGCATGTGCCAAGAAGATTTGAACGGATTCCAACCTTGCAATGGGTGCGAGGGTCTCTTCGTAGTCAATCATCTCATTCTGGCAATAACCTTTGACCACGAGTCTACCTTTGTGTCTGATCACATTTCCTTATTTATCCATTTTATTCCGAAACACCCATTTTAAACCAACAACAGATGCATAAGGGGGGAGTTGGAGTCAGTCTCCAAACTTTGTTTCGTTCGAACTCATTGAGTTCATATTGCATCGCTTGCACCCAATCAAAATGATCGAGAGCAGTGTTGATAGTTTTGGGTTCAATCTTGGATATGAACAAATTAAACATACAAGATTCAAATTTGGAGAATAATGCAGTTTGCTCCACCTTCAATTGAGAACGGGTAAGGACACCTATAGAGGATTCACCTATAACTTGAGCTTTCAGGTGAGCTCTTGTCCATTTGGTCATACGAGGATAATTGGGATCTAAGGATGGATGTAGCTCAACATTTACTTCCTAAAATTCAGATT